TTGCTCCCAACACACAAACGTTGTGCGTTGCTGCTCTAGGTAATGACATCTCACTCATTACCTTGAAACTCGCAGTGACGAATAAGTTGTCCCTTCGAGCTCTAGTCGAATGTGGGGCGTCCAACAATTTTGTGCAACGCCAATCGCTAGAAGATGGTCATTTTAAGTTCAGTGAATGTGACACACCTCCTACGAGGACGACGGTACATCTTGCGACAGGCGCATCCGTAACCGTCATAAAGCGTATAGTGAAGATTCACTATACGCTAGAAGATACCCAATATGACGTTGACTTTATCGTATTGGATTTGGATGACAAATTTGATGTCATCCTTGGAATACCGTGGCTCAGAAGGTACGAGCCTCGGGTAAACTGGCAACATCGAACAGTAACGATGCCTGCCGCTTATTTGTCAGATGGCCATCTGATGAACGTTTTGGAGCGCCCACAAGCGTGTGGATGTACTACGAGTGAGTGCGATGGCCTCACTTGTGGTACGGTCGTTAGTACGACTGCACAAAACCTTAGTGTAACAAACAGTTAAACTTCGGAGCAAAGTTCCGGCGGCTGTGAGGAAACACAGGCTGCGCCGAAGGTCCACCACTCGAATAAGTCGGGTGGACTGGGACAAAGATGTATCCCTAGCGGGGACCAACTAGAAGAGAAACCATCGATCGCTCAGGTTAAGCGAAACGATAATCCTAGATCGACTGGAGAGTCTTTCGTAGAGGATCTCGCTGTGGTCGCGCAACCCCAGCTAGAGGAAGTAAAGGGAATAAGTCCCGATATAACAAATACGGCGGAAATAAGTTCCCCGAAACCCGCGGAAATAAACCCCGGGAAGACGAAGGAATAAGTCCTTCGAAGCCTGTGGAAATGAGTCCCCAGGAAATGACAGAGACATTGAATGTCCTAGTCCATGATGAATCAAGTGTTGGCGCTTATACACTTGATCTGATTGCGCCTCCGAAGTTGACTTCGGAGATCACTCAGCTGCCAACGCTTGAGCATAAAAGGTTCTTGCGTGATCTGCGTAGTGGCAAGGTCAAGCAGATCTGCATACTCGTCGCTGACGACGAGTGTGTAACCGACATAAGGTCAGCAACAGTGTTCACTGAGAACGAGAGAGTTCTCAGTAGTTCATCGATGGACGAGAGTGTCCTAGATGAAAAGACACGAATTGAGCGATATGACTCCCAATCATGGGAATCGCTTAAGATAAATCCTCTCTATGAAGATTTGGTTGAATATAAGGATGTATTTACTGAAACTGTTCCGTGCGAATTACCAAAGGATAAAGGTATTCGACACGAGGTCGAGCTTAAACTAGGCTCGAAGTACTGTGTCATGAAGCAGTGGCCACTGCCTCGTGAACAAGTACTTGCGATCGACAAGTTCTTTGCCGATCGTTTAGATGCGGGCCATGTGAGGGAATCAACTTCCCCACATAGCTCTCCGACCTTCTGTGTGCGAAAAGCAACAGGAGAGTGGCGGATAGTGCATGCATTTAACAAGTTGAATGCTGCAACGGTACCGGCTCAGACGCCGATACCGAGGAAGGACGTAATCATTGATGGTATGTCAAAGAGCACCATCTTTTCGTCCATGGATTTGATGGATGGCTTCTATCAAATCCTTATGCGGGAACGGGATATACCCTATACCGCAGTTAGCACGCCTAGCGGCATGCTCTGGGAATGGCTAGTAATGCCACAAGGGCTTCGTAATGCCGCTGCCACGTTCAACAGATGTGATACACATCTGTTGAGACCAGTACGAGAATTCGCGCCGAGTTATTTCGATGACGTATTCATCCATAGTCGAGCTGTGGATGGAAAGTCGGACGTTGAGGTTCACAGGTACCACGTCCGATAGGTTCTTACAATCATGCGAAAGCATCAATTGTATGCAAACCTCAAGAAGTGTATATTTGCAGCAAGCGAAATACCACTTCTTGGGTGCATCGTTGGTAAGAACGGTGTACGTCCTGATCCCGAAAAGGTCAAGGCGATCACCGACTGGCCTGTGCCGGTTGATGTCAAAGGTCTTCGAAAATTCCTTGGGCTAGCGGCGTATTTGCACAAGTATTCACGCAATTACGCCGAGATGACTGTGCACCTCTCTCGTTTGTTGAAAAAGAACGAGAGGTGGTTATGGAACGCTGAATGTCAACGCTCCTTTGATGGTATCAAGATGAGCTTGATACAATCCCCAGTCCTAGCAATAGCCGATCAGGACAGGCCATTTCATGTGGTCTGTGATGCCAGCGATTGCGCAATCGGCTGTGCATTAGTGCAGTACGATCTTGAAGGCGTTGAACGCGTCGTCTGCTATCAGTCGCGTCAGCTGCAACCAGCTGAGCGAAACTATCCAGTGCATGACAAGGAACTCCTTGCCATGAAGTATGCACTCGCGAAGCTCAGAGTCTATCTGACATATCATGACAAGGAACTCCTTGCCATGAAGTTTGCACTCGCGAAGTTCAGAGTCTATCTATTAATGTCGTCGCTGATGCACTCTCACGTCGTCCTTACTTTGAAACAGTCGCGAAACCCAACAGTGAGACAGTCACTGTTGCGGTTATGACGTCCTCAGTCCCATCTACAACGTTGTATGATGATGTGAGGCGGGCATACGCCCAAGATGGTGAGATAGTGAAGTTGTTGACTCATCTCACACAGCCATCTCGAAAATCGTTGAAACGATTATCGTCTGCGTATCGATCTGCATCAGATCGATACACTACTCGTAACGGTTTACTGTACTATACAACCGTATCTGGTGACACACCACGTGTTGCCATTCCAGATGATACTGATCTGCGTTTGCGGATCATGTTCGAGTATCACGATGCTCCTGTAGGAGGACATCGTGGCCGAGAGAAAACATATCTCACGGTAAGTCGAGACTTTTACTGGCCCCGCCAGTATCAGTTTGTGCGAAAGTATGTTCGCGCATGCGAAGTCTGCCAACGAGTGAAGTCCAGTCCTGCACTGCGTGCACCTTTACAGCCTCTACCGGTTCCGGATGAGTGCTGGGAATCCATCTCAATGGATTTCGTCTTCGGGTTACCCAAAGACGCACGCGGGAATACGGGTATTCTCGTATTTGTTGACACTTTCAGCAAAATGGTACACCTTGTGGCTGTACCAGAGACAATCACGGCAAGTGGCTGTGCTTGTGTCTTTATCGACACCATCTTCCGACTTCATGGGTTGCCCCATGAACTCGTATCAGACAGAGATCCACGATTCACTGCTGATTTCTGGCGTTCCGTGTTCAAATCACTCGGAACGCGCTTGAAGATGTCGACATCTGATCATCCAGAGTCAGATGGTCAGACGGAACGTGCCAATCGTGTCCTTGAAGAGATACTTCGAGGATACGTACACTCCTTTAAGAGTTGGAGTGAGTTTCTGCCAATGGTAGAGTTTGCCATCAACAACTCGGTGCATGCATCCACGACACATACACCTTTTTACGTGAATGGCTTGCGCCATCCGCGTGTACCCACCTTACTAGAGTGTAACTCTGGTTTAAGGGGGGAGGGACTCGCGCGAGCAAAAACCGATTTGGTTCACGCTCATCTCGCTCTGACGAAGAGGTCATTGCGTTTGATGCCGATATCAACAACATCGATGTCGAAGAAGATGATGCCAGTGAGAGTGCGGAAGCCCTCACTGGAGAAACGATTGATGTTGCTGCAGTGCGCTCATAGCGCACTGAAGCTAACGAGTCAGCAGATGAGTTCATACTGGCTCGTGAAACGGTAGTCCGTTTTGTGCAGGACTCCATCGCCGAAGCGGTGGATAAGCAAAAGCAAAACGCTGACAAGAGTGGAAGGGCAAACACTCTTTTATTTAATAAAGGTGACTTAGTCCTACTGTCTACGGTTAATCTACCAAAGCATGTAGTGACTAACTTGGGTAGCAGTAAGCTACTACCTAAGTACATTGGCCCATTTCGTGTATTGCACCGCCTAGGCAATGCCTACACGATCGAGTTGCCACGTAGGATGCGAACGCATCCCACGTTTTACGTTGGTCGGCTTAAGCCGTACCATCAGTACGCTGTTTCTTCCGATGAAGAACGCCCTTGCGCTCAAGCATCTCGCAGAGAGCCTTGTGCTCCCGATGGTGGGCATCAACAAGGGTCTGAAGAGCAGTTATCTCAGCCCGAGACCGATCAACAATCCCACGAGCTACCCTTAGCTCGTCACGAAGAGATGTCAGAGATCTCTCGTTCTCGAGCTGAGCAAAGGCAAACTCAGCTCGATGATTCGAGGCAGTGTCCGCCAGTTGGAGACGCCTGTCCCGCTCATGTTCGAGATCGCCGCGTAACCCTTGCGTTACACGATCAAAGAAGCTCTCGGGAACACACGGATCCCCACGATCGTGTGGAGAGCGCCTTCCCTCCCCCTCAACCTCCATTAGAGGACTCTTGCGGTGGTTAGAGCTATCTGGTTGAGCAGCTGTTGGACCACCGCAAAGTGAACGGACGTTGGACGAGTTACCTCGTCCGGTGGCACGGCTATCCCCCGTCCTGAGATACTTGGGAGCCCCGCTCCCAACTGATGATTGACGTACTGGGTCTGGTCGAGCAGTACGACGCGGCACATCCTGCGCCGCAGAAGGACCGCTGGAAAAGTCTTCCCGGCACGGTCGTAAAGGGATTTCAGGTTGTCAATCCCTTCGTACATCTCAGTAGAGATACGTACGCGCCACCACGGGCTGTTAGGGAGGTAAGCCTCCTTAGGTGCTCGTGCAGAGTTGTTCACACAACATGGGCACGAGTATCCCCATGAGAGGCAGGGTAATCCTTTCTCCCTTGACAGACGATGCAGCTTGTAGCGTGCACCTGTCGGGGTTCGTTTTTCAAACTTATCACGAGCTTTGATGAGTTTGTCGTTCCAAGAGTCACGACCTACATCCTCAAGGTTATGGATGTAGGCGTTCTACGATTGAAGAAGTGAGGGACCATCACGTTTGTGATTCCCACTTTACCATCGATGTCTAAAGAAAGCATCGATGAAGAATTCATGCTCAGTGTGGTAGTCTTTCGCGCTGGGGTCAAGGTGATGGATCCTTGATGAATCGAACAACCGTGTTCGATAACGATCACTCGTCGTCGCCGACAAGTGATCCATGACAGATTTTGGAGGCAGCCGTGCCTTCTTTTCGGGAGCGAGACGCAAGACATTGCGATCCCGCTCTTCCTGCGATGTGCCGACAGAAGTACTGGCACCTCGTTGCGAAGTGGTGCCAACAGGAGTACCGACACCACTACTAGCGCCCGAGTCTCGCGACCTCGAGCGCCTTCGCTTTGGCGATGGTTCATCTGATTCGTCAGATAAACCATAGATGCTACGACGCGTAGCGTCATCCATGCCACGCTTGGCAGGCGGCTTGGATTCAATCGCCGTCGATGCGGATCCACCTTCTGTATCGGGAGAGTATGAGACACCGAGCTCATACTCTGTGAAGACATGAGCGTCTTCATGACAAGCGCCTGCATCACCAGATGACACAGGCTGTTTTGCTTCAGCAACCCATGAGACATCAGTTGCTGTTGTTTCTGCTTCGGCGTCTGCACAGAGACGTGCATAAGCGCACTCGGCGGCCTTGCTCGCGCACCGCAGGGGCTTATTGATCATGCGATGAACTGTTGGAAAGTGGACGCGGACCAACAAGTGCAAACCCTGTTCCAAATGATTTGGGACGAGTATCCATTTAGTCCATCAGTCACTAAAGTGACTGATGGTTAAGGGGGGGGTGATGCAACGGGGTGAATCGTTGCACGACAATTTACTATACATTGTTAATAGAATATAACTACAAGAGTTCTATTCACAGAATATTGTCATAAGGACAAATATTCTGCAGCACTTACGAGTAGCTCCTAATTGGTTGATATAGGCCATTATATCAACCAACGAAGACGCGCCACGACAGACGCACGCTATAAGTGGTGAGCAGATAGTTGATATGCAGATTTGTAGTCAGACATGGTTAGATGAAGATAAATAGTGATTTGTTGCAGACATTAACTATACTAAATACAGTTCTACTTTTTACTTTGACCAAGTACTCGCTTCTCCTTACCGTCTTCCTCTGCACGTACCAGCTAACGTGAAGTTCCGAGGCACCGCCTTATTCTGTCATCGGAATAAGTGGCTTGTACTGTCATCAGTATAAGCTTCAGGGTGCCCCGTTACACCAGTGGTAAGGGAGAAGACACGTAAAGCCCAGGCAGATAGCACCCCTGAGACAAGTAAAACCCAGGCGCCACCACCTGAGACAACTGGTTATAAGACCACTCTCGACCAAGTCGATCGAGTGTCCGCCTACATTGGACCCCGAATGAAGCATATCCGCTCGGGCCCCCCCCCATGTCGACCCCAAGCAAGGCCGACGTCTACATCATCACCAAGTCTTCCAAAAAGTCAAACCCGCCAAGCCTACGGGTACACAAGGTGAGTCAAGTTCCACAAAAAGCATCGGGGAACCCCCTCCGACGGCTGCAGTCCGGCAAAGTGAGTGGTTCGGGGTCTCGTCATACAGTTTTGACAATCCACTCTACCACAATGGTGCGCGTGCCCGGACATCTGGAAGACACGGGATTGCACCACGAGTCCCAAGATGAAGAAGGTGTCAAGGTCACGTTAGAACCGAAGACCGATGAACCACTGGAAGACCGACCACCAGTGACACTAGAATACAAAAACAAAGAGTCGAAGGACCGACCGGACCTTGGCAGGGGTCCGGTCGACATGTTCAAGGTTGAAAATATTGAAGAAAAACACCTTAGGACCACCGACGGAGTCGGATCAACGGCCGAAGATGCAATCTGGAAAGCTATGGTCCCCGACACCAAAGACCCCTAAGACCGCTAAGTAAAAGCCGAAAAACACGAAGACGCCGGTGGATACCAAGTCGGTGGGCCCTGCCCAAGCCGGACCGCCAGCCTGGTCGGACGATGCTGTGACGATCGCCTACCACCGGCGCAAGCTGGAAACCCTCTTGGCAAACGACCCTGTCATGAAAGTCCTTCAGATTAATCTGCTTGGGATACTAGAGGGACTGGTGTCACCCCTACCGCGCCTCCGGACGGTCATAGAGGCGGTCACTGCGCTGGTAACCCTCCTCCGCGAGGCAAAAGTGGCTGCAGGAAAGTTCGAGCTAAGCACTTTGTCCGACCTAGGTTTCAACAGCATCAATAGCATGTTGGAGAAGTTGCTCAGGCGAGTCTAGTTGGGGACCACCACCAGACACAATAACGTGTTACTTGCGCAACCAATACCGATGCCGTCTAGCGACAGACAGATGAAGCTCCAAGACTTCGTAACCCAACCCCAAGCACGACCACAGCTCGACAAACCGAAGGTGACGCGCCGTCCCCCACCAGCGAATCTCCCGCCAGGGATCCAAGATGCGGATGAGCGGTCGTCACCCTGTTCGTCTGCTCTTGATCAGTACGACCAAATGCCACTGGGACCGGCAGGAGCAGCGATGCTCCAGGATTGTGCAAGGGGCGGAGCGACCAATTAATATGATCACGAAACACCGACACGTGTCTACTTAAACATCCAAGCGCCTGATAGGGTGAATTTTCACCCAATGGGAACATAGCACGGTCTTTACCGAAACTCTGCACCACCACGTGACAAAGATGATGGTGTGATGTGCCTACCAACAAGGTATGTAACTTGCAGACATACTTTGACGCGGCAATGGCACGATTTCTACAGGAACGCCAGGTACAACAAGGATACCAAGATGGAAGGGCGACCGCAGAGGCACAAAGGGCGCAGGTAACAGAGGCTCAACAAACACCAAGAATTCGAGCGCAAGCTTTAAAACAGCGTACTATGACTGACGTGGAGATGGAATCAGTCGGTACGTGTGAGTACGACCCAGATGACATGTACTTGAAGGGACCACTGGCGAGGATGGCGACAGCTACAGTAGGACAAATGCCCAACATGGTCCCTCGCATTGAACTTGCAGCTACATCGGACCTCAAGGATTTCCACGGAAATGATCAAGACGAGGACCGAGCACGCAGTTGATCGACCGCGGTGAAAACCGCGTTCACGAGAGATCAAGCGCCCGAAGATGAAAAGTATCTTGTCTTCGGTGGATTGCTAACTGGACCAGCTCAAAAGTGGTATCGCCAACTGGGTCGCTCCGCTCGATCAAGCTGGAAGGATCTCCTACAAGAGTTCCAGATGCAGTTCTGCGGTTTGGAAGCGCCAGTTCATCGCCAATACTACCATGCGAAGAAGAGGTCAGATGAGTCACCATTGGACTACCTGTACCTACTCAATGTGATTGGACTCAGGGCGAAGATCAAGATCAAGGACGGACCGCCCAAGGTACAAAAGGAACAGTTCCAGCACTACATCGAGACTTTAGACGAACCGAAACTGGCGGACTAGCTCACGATATTGCGTCTGGCGGATGTGGACTAATTGGAAGACGTGCTGAGAAACAGGCAGAGGATGGAAGCGCGGCGAGGTAAGGTACTCTTTGTATCAATCAATTTCGACAAAAGGCACCCGTATCACCCGACCGACCAAGAGAACTAAACTGCCGGTAGTTACATGCAGTTAGGGAGAACATGGAAGGTTCGAGTTCGGAAAATTTGAGCTCGGACGGCTCAAGTGAAAAAGGTGACCTGAGGCGAATTCACTTGATGGCGATGGAAGGACAGAGGGACACAGGTGCGAAGATCCAAGAGGCCGACCCATTCGGGAGGCCAACCATCACCGTCACCATCACCGTCACCATCACCGTCACCATGAAGGTGACCAGGGATCTCGCCCGACTTTGTCCTCTAAACACCAGAAGTTTGCTCACTGTCGATCTCAAAAGCATGGATATTCAAGTTACTGGAAACGACTCATTGTGACCGCTATGGGAAAAGGTGTCACCCAACTGATCGTTGTTTGTTTGTGTGAAGGGGGTGTGAAGATGCCCACGAGGCTAGAAAGTGCCAGATGGAAGAGTTTTATAACTTAATCCGTCAATGGTACAACCCAAACAAGCACGCCGGGATGTTTCCGGAGAAGACAGAGAAGATGACAAATTAGAGCGCTTGCCAGGTTTGAATCTGGTGCGGCCGAGCATTCTAATTATCTTGTCTTTGCATATGCGGAAAAGCGATTCGAAGAAGATATAGGCACCACAGGAAGAAAAGAGTTGCAAGGAAGATACCGCAATTAAGAAGATTGGGAATATATCAAAGATTGGAAGCTACCCTGTGGTTCATATTGCTTGCCCTAATGACCCCAACGGCTTTGCTCGAGGAGATGCGGCAATGGAATTGGACCTACTACCAGGCGAATACAGGGGCTATTGGAAAACCATGCTCCTTCGAAGTGGTTCAAGCATGCCAAGGCCTCTGGAAAATGCAGTAACGATCGCGCAAACTTGTCGTTTGATATTGGTGCCAAGACATCCATTTTGGATATCGCCTTTGCTCGTAAGGTAGGTTGCCATATCGATGAAAGTGAGCGCCAAGAATGTGTTGGTATCGGGGAATCCGTGTATACCACAGAAGGACGCACTCGTATCAAGTTCACCCTGAACGGAAACTTGGTGTATACCTTCAAGGTATGGGTCGGGACGATGGAAGGCCAAAATGTAATTTTGGGGATGGAATTCATGGTCCTCGCTGGCTCCGCTTAGATCTGGGGTTTGGAGCACTCTGTCTCCTGGATGAAGTTCGTATACAATAGTCCGGCCGAAGAACGCTTTACGGTGGCAGATTGACGGACGTGAAGCTGGGCCAATTCGCACAGTTACGTGGTGGAGGGTATGTGGAAGTACCGCTAAAAAGATCGAAGTTGGAGCAGATTGAGCTATGAGTGACGAGAGGCGAACGGTGTGTCACTACGGTGATCCGAGGGGTAGGCCGACGTCAATTCTTGAATATGACCAATGTCAGCACACAGTTTCTAAGTCCACATAACGACACCAGGATTGGAATGTTACTAGCGAAGGATCAAATACCTAGGACACTCGGGTTCGTCACTGTGGGCTCTCGAAGATACGCCGAGTGGTGGAATTTGGCATACGAAGCTACCACCGATCAGAAAGGCCATCCGTTGGACCAGATGGAGGAAGGCGAGGTGACATTAGTGGACAAACCCCAGTATGATACCCCATTACATATTCTGCAGTGATCGCAAAGGATCACCCGGTGATGAACGTTTCTCCTTAACGGCTGCCAGTGGAGGAATTACCAACATGAAAAAATGCCGCCGTAGCCCAACCTTTAAAAGCCGCCGTCACTCGACTGATGAAAGTTACGGTCACCCAGCCTTTGGAAGCCGGAGTCCCCGAAGCAAGAACGAAACACGAGGACCTAGCACAAGCGGATGACCAAGTGTGCACGTTCGAAAGTGGGGAACTCTGGGCCGAATAAACCAGCCAAGGATGGGCAGTAATACCAGAAGTAGACCGCTCGCCCGAAGGCATCGAGTTGAAGGACATGCAGATCCCTGATCAGGATGGGAACACGCCTGAAGAGTTGGATCAATTGAGGCAAGTCATATGGAAGAAGCGACATCTGCTAATGGGAAAAAGCTACGCCTTATCACCAGACGCTCGTGGTGCCATATGCGACATCGACGTGAGAAATGCCAGGCCGATTGCACAACGTGTACGAAAGGTGGCCCCTCAGTTCAAAGAAAAGTTGGCCGACCTGATCAAGGGACTATTGTCTGCGAAGATCATCCAGCCCTCTACCTCGCCATGGGCCAGCCCAATCGTCATTATTGTGAAGAAAAATGGGGTGGACATCAGGCTGTGCATTGATTACCAGTTGGTAAACGGCCTGAATCAACTCATGGTCTACCCCATGCCACTGAGTAAAGAGATACTAGAAGACTTGGATAGTGCGTTGTAGCACTGCTCCCTGGATATGGCAAGTGTTTTTTGGGTCGTCGGCATGACCGAAAGGGCAAGAAGGATCTCGGCTTTTGTCACCCCATTGGGGTTGTTCGAATGGCTGCGGATGCCATTTGGACTCAAGAATGCGCCTCAGATATATCAGAGACTCTTGGAAAAAGCGTTATATATGTTCTTACGTATACCTCCGGGAACAACATTGGATGAGCCAGCAGATTTGTTCGCATCGGGGAACCAGACACAGAGTCAGGCTCCTCGATATTGGGTTGTCGGTCTTACATAGATGACATAATTATACCTGCTGAATCTTGGAAAGTGTTATGCAACAAGGTGTAGCGATTGTTGGACGTATGCGACTACTGGAATTTGTGAATCAGTGCAATCAAAAGTTTGTGGGGATATCGAAGAGTCGACTAACTCGGTCACCGGGTATCCAGAGAAGGATTGGAAGCCCACCCCAAGGACCTCCAAGCACTAGTCAACCTACCTCTACCACCAACTCTCAAGGCCACGTAGTCGTTCCTCGGAAGTCTAAATTACTACCGCAGGTTAATCGAGGATTATGCTAACTTTGCGTCGGCCCTGAACGAGTTGATAGAGGTGAACTTACACTTGTGGCGATGCAAGTTGAGTGATGGTCACCACTCAGTGACCACGGGTGAAGACGAATAGAAATGATCTCGAATTCAGGAGGCTTTCACTGTGCTCAAGAACAAGATGACTACAGCGCCTATTTTGCGGCATTTCGACCTGTCAAAAGATGCGGTGATTGTTGTCTACACGAGCAAATGGGCCATCTCAGCGTCGTTGGTGCAGGACTATGACGGACTATTTATGCCAGTGACCTTCACTAGCCGGATACTCAAAGCCAACGAGTTTAACTGCAGTACCGTGGAGAAAGAAGTGCTGGCGTTGTTGTGTATATTGGAAACTTGTTTTACGATGCTGGTCACCCGACCTCTCAAAGTAATAACGAGACACTCGACGTTGGCCTGGTGGTTAAATCCTATGGATTGCAGGGGTGCTTGGAAATTTGGGCCGCTCTGTTGTCCCAGTGGATATTAGAGATTGTGAAGTGCAAGAAACGTGAAGATCAGGTGCTGGAGGAGTTAGCATCCAGTATTACCCCCCGCGAGAGTGTAGACTCGATCCTATCTGCTATCGCGTCCAAGAAACAGGCGAAGCAGAAGATTGATCTACCTACGCCTACTGTGGAAAAAGACGAGGAGCTATATGTACTGAGCTTTGGTGGATCAGCTCGTGTGAAACAAGGAGGAGGGATTTGTAGCGCCGTCGTATATGTATCCTTTCTACGTGGTCGGTAGTAATCGTTGCCTCCAAATACCTCAATGAATTTACGGTGAATGAGGCCGAATATAAAGCATGTTGCTGGGGTTCGAGTTGTTAGAATTTTTGGAAAGACGGAGACTAATAATCTGTGGAGACTCCAATCTGGTTGTCCGGTAGATGTGCGGAGAAATCGAGTGCAAAGCGTCTGGGATGTCTCCATTGCGTGCAAGAGCTCTGAGCAAGCTTCAGTCGTGGACTTCCCACGATATACTCCACGTAAAGCGTGATTGGAATCAGAGTACGTACCAGCTGGCTAGTGCAGCATTACGCAGAGAAGGAGGGGTCGAATCAGTACCGAGCGAAGAGTGGCCAGGGTTAGAAGTGATCAACCGACTCCCAGAGCTGTTAGTCCCCAAAGAAGAGGATCGGGCGGTTAGAGTATCCGCGGAGACCCGAACAAGGCCACCCATCAAAATATCCGTAGAAACGGTGCCAAAAGAGGTGTTACAACAGCTGCGAGTGGAATATATTCGGAAGGCTCAAGAGGAGGAGATCTGGATAATGGATCTGAAGGTATATTTAAAAGGGCACCTAGGAGGCCTATCGGCAGAAGCGGCACATGCACGTAGCCAAATAGCCATAGATTATGAATTCAGCGAAGAAGAATTACTGGTATAGTGTCCCGTCCAGAAGACCGACGAGGGCGACCGAGAAATGACCGCCCGACTAGTGATCTTTGAATCCCTCCAGACCGACGTGTTACATCACTACCACGCTAGACTGGAAGGCCCTCATCAAGGGGTCGGTCGCACCTACTATCGGATTCGCTGATATTGCCATTGTAAAGGATTGTTTCAAAGTGTACAGCGGTATAAGGGATTATAGGTGGATTACATGTGGATTGCGAGACAGGAAAAGGGGAGCTGCCCTTCAAGAGACAACCCCAGGCAAAGTCGAGGTGACCTACCCTTTCCAAGTCATAGCAATGGACCATATTCTCTCGCTGCCCAGGTCACATAGGAAAAACACTTATCTATTGATTTGGGTCAATTTATTCACTGGGTATGTGATGGCCAAGGCAAGTGCTTTGCGAACTGCTCAGACGGTAGCCGAAGGGTATGAAGAATGTTCTTTTCGGCGTTTTGGGGCCAGAAAGGTGATACGCCATGACCGGAAACCCAATTTCATGTCGGACTTCTTTCGAGCGTCTAATCGCATGGTGGGTCAGCGTCAACGGGCGACGATGGCTTACCGATCCCAGGCTAACGCAACCGCGGAAAGAATGATCCAAACACTGACAAGGTCTATTAAGATGTATGTCTCAGATGTGGCACAGCAAGATTGGGACAAATACGCAGAACGTCTAACGTTCGCTCTGAACACTGCACACAATGGGATGCGAAAAGAGACACCTTTCTGTTTGTCCCACGGTTGGGGACTCTAGATCCACCCTGGAAGCAACGTTGCCAGTTGTGAACACCAGATGCAAAGGTTCCAGGGCTCGAATATGGAGGTATCACATCCAGAGTCACTACCGGCGTACAAGGTAACAGGTAAACAAGCATTTGCGGTCGGCCTGTCAAGCCCGGGTGCTGACTTATAATGAATAAGTGGTCGGTCACAAGATTCGGCCAGGTATCCAGGTGTGGCTTTACCTAGATCGTGTGAAGGAGGGGTACGCCAAAAAGTTAGTTCACCTCTGGCATGGTCCGTTCCGAGTTTTGGAGTTGGTCGGTGAACATGCTGCGTGTTTGGAGGTAAGAGTTACGAAGTACAGATTATTCCCAATCGTTCGCATCTTCAAGCTAAAAAGGGTCAGGGAATTCCCTGATCGCCCAAGAGACCGGCTGACAGTGGACGAGGCAGACTGGATAGACGTTGAAGAATGCTTGTTGCCGGAAGATAGCTGGAAGCGCGAACTGGGGGGAGGCGAATATGGAGCTGAAGAGATTTTAGAAATCCGTGTCAGCAATAAGACGCGTTACGGTCGACAGCGGCTTGAGTTATTAGTCCGTTAAAAGGGTCATGCGGACCCTTCATGGGTCGACAAAGTGGATTTGAATTGTGGAGCTTTATTACGGGGGTTTGAACACAAAGTGATAAATTACAACCGTTTCGAGGTAATTCAGAATCACTAAGACTAGTCGTGGAGAAGTAAACAATCACCCGTTGGTCGGCCTGGTCGTCTGTGAATCGATCATTACCTCCGTGAGCGGATCAATGTTTGGGACCAACCAACGCGATGTAAAAGTTGAGCATGACCCATTCGAAGTGACTAAGTGTATCTTAAGGTATGTCGTGGTTAATCTGGAGTCGGCCACAATTTTTCATGGTTAATCAAGGCGATACAACGCTGGCTGACAAAGGAAAATATTTGGCAGAGTGGATAATGAGCAACGAGCGGACAAGCTGGATGTAAACAGATTGAAAGCATCGTGTTTGAATCCATTACTCTTACTAAGGAAAACAACTTGTTCTGAAGGCGAGCGACCTTGGTTTCCAGTTGGGGCCCAGAAATGAGTCCGTATTGGGATTCTCATGGTCACGGAGAGACTGAGAGATGAAGAGCGACCTAAAGTTCAATCAGCCCCGACCCCTCTTCACAACCAGGGTTCCAATAAACTATGCGGTGAGGGTGAGGCAATTGCCGGAAGAGTCGTAACCGGATCCTCAGATGGTGAATCGAATTCCTGTGAAGGCTTGGATGCAAGCACACAGGTTAGACAGTGACAAGATAACGGTCAAAAGAGAAAATAAAAATCACGGAAATGGCGTAATGAAGATACGCTCATGCTCGGGCCGCTGTACGGTCGAGCAAGTGCAAGGGGTGGATGTGGTGAAGCGAGTATTCGAAAATGATGGACTAAGAGTAGATGACCCGGACGGACATGGGACCTCGTGGCCGAGAAGGGGAATAAAGACTTGAAGGTCACAGGTAAGGAGCGGCCGTTGGATCCAATCGTGACGAGCGGCTAAGGTTACTGCTAACGGGATCAAACCGAATAACAAGACCAATCAAACGGTACCGATACCGATCGTTCTCAACCACTCGACTGTCGGCCTGGTAGCCCAAGGTGGACGTCGGTCACCCGTAGGCCGATGGGTGTCCAACCGTAGGCCGACCTGGTCACCAATAGGTCGACTTGGCCTCCCAAGGTCTCTGAAGGTCTGGTGGCTTCTGGCCACTCATCAAATCGAACCCAGGTGTAAGCAAGGATAGAGTAAAGGAGTTTAAGGGAGAGGAAATTTAAATAATGCTCAAATTGCCATCCAAGTAGCACGATGTGTCGTGCGCTAAGAAAATTGTAAGTCTACCGACCTGTTCCGGGCCAGGGATCTGTTTGGACCACCCGTCAAATAGACAGTTGTCAGTAGGACAAAAGGGCACGTATAACTCCAAGAAGTCCATTGGCCTGTGGGTTTATAGAGAAGCAACCCCCCCACTCAATCCCGCTATAGGGAGCGGCCTCCATACCCTAGTAGTAAGAAAGAAGACACCTAAAGGCCAGGCAGATAACACCCCTGAGACAAGTAAAAGCCAGGTGCCACCACCTGAGACAACTGGTTATAAGACCACTCTCGACCAAGTCGATCGAGTGTCCGCCTACATTGGACCCCGAATGAAGCATATCCGCTCGGGCCCCCCCATGTCGACCCCAAGCAAGGCCGACGTCTACATCATCACCAAGCCCTCCAAAAAGTCAAACCCGCCAAGCCTACGGGTACACAAGGTGAGTCAAGTTCCATAAGTGGCATCGGGGTACCTCATCCGACGATTGGCAGTCTGGCACAGTGAGTGGTTTGGGGTCTCGTCAAACAATTTCGACAAACCACTCTACCACACTTTTAGAATCTGGATTCGGATACCATCAATCTCATGGCGCGTGACCAAGGCATCAGGAATTCAATTAATGATCTCTAAGAGCATGGCGGCGTCTTGTCTTTAGATGAAAAACATACTTACGGAAGTCGCTCACTGCAGATAAGCAGCTCTGACTTTCCGATCGACAGAGTCGGAGGCGTCATCTGCTTGAATCTAAAAGGTGCAATGACGTTACAAGACAGACTCGGCAACCGCTACCTGATAAACTTCGTAGACCACTGATCTAACTGCTGTCGGATATTCCTTGCCTGCACCAAGGACGCATCAGCCAAGCAGTTTGAAGCGATTCTCGTTATCATGAGTAGCGCTTCGACTGCCTCATTCATGTGCTGCACACCGACGGAGGAGGCAAGTGTGCAAACGGCAAACTCTTTTGCAAGAAGACCGGCGTGGTGCAGCACGTTTCGGAAGTGCGAATCTAGGCGCTTATCGACAAGGCTGAGGGGCTGCACAGAACGGTGATTAAGCTGGCGCGAAGCATGGTTTTGCATGCGCGCTGACCTGGTGCTTTTGGGGCGATGCGGCCTAGACATAATCCTGAACCGTAGTCTAAGCGCGCAAAATCGAAGAAACCTTTACTAGTTGAAGTAATAATTGGCACGTTACCGGAACTTACAAAAATTGCGTTTATGGGTCACTATGCAGCGTGTATCAAGGCCCGCGCAGGAACTCTCATCAGCAGCGCGCGCAATGTGCCGCGATCATCGGGATAAGGGATGAAGCAAAAAAGCCACATGATATGTCTGAGCAAGGAGAGCGAGGTAATAATGACACTGCACGTGAACAATGTTGAAATGATTTCCGACGCACAGAACGCGCAAGTGTGTAGTGGAGTAGGGTTCGCTCATTTTATGAGGCGATTCCGACTCTCCACTGTCTCCCAGACAACCGACTAAAGGAGGGGGTACTCCGGTTCCGCTTGCACTTATTTCCTTCTCACCTTGTGTACCCGTAGGTAGGGCGGGTTGCACTCTTCTTGGTGGACTTAACTCGATGCTGCACTTAATCGTTTTCGCGATTGTGTCGATCGGGTGAGAGTTCCTCGCACGACAGCGTGATTTTGGTTGGCGCACTCCTATAGTCGCCGCGATCAGCCTTGATCGCCTTGTGACAAAATGGGGTACTTGAGTAGCGAGCCTTCGGATCTCTTGA